GTAAACAAGTGAGATTAACCCTAGAGGTGCACATTTGCAAGGTGTTTTATTTTCATGCATTTTATCTTGAATTCGGGTTTTTTTATGGTTGGTTTTAATCTTGTCATGCAAACCCTAATTACTAGCAATAATAAGGAAAGCGATAAATTGCAGAATTTAAATGTCCTACGCTATTACAACGCTTTGGGAATGAGAGGTACAAGATTGTGAATGAGGGGGAGAAAACAATAAAGCCTAATTATCTATTACAAACCATTGGATATAAATAATAAGTAAATGCACAAAATGTAAAGATGAATGAGGAAAAAGAAATTGTTTTGTGGTTTTTGATGGAAAAGGTTTAAAGATTGACCTAATCAAACTAATTAATTTTAATTACAAGAGAAGTTAATTAATTATTTAATCAAAATCTAAAGTCTAAGTTAATTGAAATTAAGAAAATAAAACCTAAGTATAATGATTTTATGTTAAAAGAATTTGAATGTTAATGTTAATAAAATGTTTTATAATGTAAAATAACTAATAAAATTTAATTCATTTAACAAAAATAAAATAAAGTGCTTGAATTAAAATATTTTTTAATTTAATTATTTAAGAAAATATGTTTTTGTATTTTTGATTAAATAAAGAATAAATAAATAAATTAAAATAAAGAAAATATGAAGAATATAAAAAATATTGGGCCTCAGTGTTAAAAAGTAAAGGGGGGGGGGGGGGGGGGTTAAAAAGTAGCAAACAAGACCAAGCCGTTTTTTTTGTTTGAGTCAGAAAATAAATAAAAAAGATAAATGAGCCTGCGCTTGAAAAGTAAAATGGGGGTGCAAAGAATAGCAAAATGTCCAGCCCAAATCAGTAAGGCCCTAAGCGCTGCATGATTCCATGTGGTTAGCTCTTGAGAGTGCATCATGGTCTTGCATCACGTGGAGCGCTAGATTTGATGGTTGGCAGATCTAATGGCATTAATGTAAAGTTCATGGTATGCGCGTGTTGCTTGTATGCACCGAATCTGTAAGGAAATAATATGAAAAAACAAAAGGGTAACACTAGGGCTCGAACTCAGGTCCCTGTAGATCAATGACTTAGGCGCGCTTCTTTACCACTGAGGTGGCTGTTACATCCGGTGGTAAAACAAGTTACAATAAATTTAAAATAAACTCCATTATGAATATGGCTTCATCTTCTTCCTCGCGCCAGAACAACAACACAATTGTTTTGAATTCTGAACTTGCTCATTTCTCAACCATTTTCAAAAATGTAAACATGAAAGTTGTTCCATTTTCACCATGAATTCAACCATATAAATATCTTAAGCTAAATCTCAAAGATAAACATGAATTTTTGTTGGTACCAAAATAAACCCTAATTTTTCATAAAGTTCAACTTTAAAATTCGCATCACTCAGGCAACATAAATGAAAACTAAAGGCATGGTTAGCTTCAGGGTAATGACGTCTACATTTTTTAATTCACAAAGTAAACATTAATGATGCTTGTATAAGGAGTTCAAAGTTGAGAAAACTTACCTCAAAACTGGAAATCGTATTTGAAGTTTGAGCACTCCTGGAGGTGTTGTGATGATCTGGATAGCTTCATTGAACTCCTAGGAAGTTATTGCAATGCTTACTTTGAGCTAAAAGTGTCTGAATCTTTCTGGAGAAGTCAAGTTGCAGAGCTGAGTTTTGAAAATGGTGGATGGCGATGGAGGGATTACATAAGTGGTTCAAGTGTTTGGATCACTTATATATGGTGTATAAATGATGTTTGATTGATTAAGATGGAAAACGCACGCGTAGATTTTGAATTTGCTATTCAAAGTTAAAAATGGCAAGCAATGGAGGTTTTTGATGTAAATTCTGGTTTCAGGGAGTATGAGATGGTTTGAGGGCTATTAAACTCGTGTTAAGGCTTGCAAACAACCTCTATATTTATAGAGAAAAGGTTTTAGAGACTTAAGTAATCAGAAATCAAAGATCACATGTCATGGTTATGTGACTTGATTTTGAAGCAAACTTGAAATACATAGTTTCAATGTATAACACAAGGGCTTGTAGGGTGGCTGACATGTTTGTAGATGGTTTATTATTGCTTTGAAATGTTTTGGAATCAGAAGCAATAATGTATGGGCTCAAGGAGAGTTGACATTGTGTATAAAGCAACTTTTCAAGAATGATAATGTTAACTTTGTGCCAGAAATGGAATAATCACTTGGACAATGGCTCAAGCACTTAGATCATAGATCAACCAGTTTTGTAAACAATTAATTATGGAGTGATTTGTAAGTTAGAAGCATGCAAAGCAAGATTTATGCAGCATGCTTAAAGATTGGATCATAAGGTTCATCATAAAATGACCTAAAATTCAAGAATGGATGTCCAACTTCTTCTCTTCGATTCTCCTAGCTCAAAATGATCTCTTCAAGTTCTTAGATATTTTAGAAATCTTGAAACATTGTCTACAACCTTCATGTTTACCACTTTGGCTAAATCAAATTTGAACTAGGTGAAAAATTGCCAAGAATTTGGGACAAAAATCTGACCAAACTTGCTAAAATTTTCACTAAGTGTTTTTGTAAAAGTGTCATGATTTCATGAGCCTATATCTTTAAATCTAAGAATTTTTTGGACATCAACCCTCAAGGACAAAGTTGTAGAATTCATCAAGATCTGCAATTTTCATTTTGAAAGTTTTCCTTGAATAATCTTGCATCTTGGTGAAAAACTGTCATGAAGTAGTGAAATTATCAAGGTAAAAAACACTTAGAATTTTTCTAAGTATTGAAAATCTTGACTTTTGTTGACTTTTCTTGAATTTCTTGATTCTTGATGATCAAGTTTGATATTTTTGAATGTCTCGATGAATCTTGATATTTGAAATTTATTGTTGATAAAAAAAGTCAAAGTTTGACTTTCGTGTGTCAGTTGACTTTTCATTAGTTTATCCAAATTTCAACTATCAATCCCTTGCATATTTGAGATGATTTGAGCCATGAAATTAGGTCAAGATATTGTGTTTGAGTCCTTAAGATCATGCTTCAAGTCATTAGGCCATGTATTAGGTCAAAAGTCAACAATCAGTCGTTCTCAGTCAAAATCCTAATTTTGACAATTTTGCTCCTTTGATGATTTGAATGCTTTTCTTGAGGATTTATGATCAACCCTTGATAAATTGATGAGTATGAATTCAAAATGTTGATGTTGGCCAAAAAAATTGACTGTATGTTGACCACAGTTGACATTTTATCCAATACAGCTGATTTTCAGTCATCTGATCAATTTACTGAACAATTTTGAGATGCAAGACTTGAAACTTGGCACGAGCCTTCTTGGAGGTCTATGATGAACCATGAAAGTCATTTGAGGCATTAGAAGTCCAATTTTCCTTGTGAAAACCAAAACCCTAATTTGTGGTCTCAGTGCTTAGGAGGTGAGCTTGTCTGATCAACTCTTTGAGAATCCTTGAGCATTTGAGATCTTTTGTAAGAAATGTCTTAAAGAAAAAAAGAGGGAAAATTTTAGGGTACAACACACAAGATGTGAAATGTTGGCCTTTACATCGGGCCACTACTCAACCGATGTGAAATCATTTTTCCTTTCATTTTCACAAAAACCCTAGTATTTGTAACTTTCACAAACCCTTTTATTTCCTTCTCTCTTTTACAGCTGCTACTCCCTCCACACGCATAACGCTCCATCTTTACATCTACTCCACATGCATAACCCTCCGTTGCAACCAGTCCATCCGTCAACCTTCATTCCGGCCTCACAACCACCAATTCCGCGATGTAGCGTGCCAGTAACTCCCTCCGTAGCGGTCAGTTTCTTCGTCGGTTCCAACAACTATCAACATGAACGCGCTGACGAAGAAAGCCGGATTTCAAAAACTTATTTACTAGGGAAGATGAATGAGTTTCCATGAATAGATCTACAAGTCTTCGATTTCAATGAAGAGGACACAGTTAACTCTGATAAACTCCTCTTCAACAAATTCAACAAAATCCCTATCAACGATTCTCGCTCACGGTAAGATGATTTCACAGAAAATTGCAAGTCTACCTTATAAGCTAGATTCTTAATTGGAATCATTCATGTTTAGTACTCATTTTATTAAATTTTGTGATTTTGATCAATTTTATGTGTCTGAATTTTAGGTGTAGTCAATGTGTTAGATTTAGTTTTTAGTAGTTTCAGTTTTCATGAGTAGCCTGAGCTTAAGAATTAATACATGCGAAGTTAAGGCTCAAATTTGGAATACCGCCGGTCAAGAACCATTTTGTCTTATTACTTTGGTGTACTACAGAGGTGTCATCGGTGCTCCCGTTGTCTATGATATTAACCGAAGAACTACCTTTGATAGTGTCGATAGATGACTCGATGAACTCAAGTGTCAGTATCTTTAATTACTGTTATGTTATGCTTTTCATTTTGGATATGTCATTTTAAATTTAATTTCTTATATATATTGTGTGTTGTCGTGATGTTGTGAAGACTTATAAAACTATACTTATATTGCACTTGTAATTGTTGTTGCCGTGATGTTGTGAAGACCTATAAAAACTACATTTATATTTCTGTTGTAATTGTTGTTGTCATGATGTTGTGATAGTAATTGCGGATGCAGCCGGTAATTTTAAATTGTTTGATTAAATAATTAATGTTTGTTTATATCTAAAAAGTTGAAGTATTTTTTTCATGTGTTTGATATTTGTGATGCAGCTCATTGTGATATAGAGATGGCAATGATGCTGGTGGGAAAAATGTGATTTGGATAATACAATGCATGTAAGCATTGAAGAAGGTAAAAGCCTTGCAGAATGAGAAGGTTCATTTTTCATGGAAACCATTGCTTTGGACTCACAAATGTGAAGACATCATTTGAGATGGTTATTAGAGAAATATACAACAATGTTTACAGGAAGGTTCTCAACTCAGACACTTATAAAGCTGGATTATTTGTCGACAAGGTTAGTTTTGTTAACGATGACAAACTCGTAATTATATTATTATCACTAACTCCTTGTCACTCAAACACACTCTCGCAATTGGCTTTCCGCAAACAACTACTCAAACTTGTTTTAACAATTCTAGGGATAAAAAAAGGAAGCCGGATTTAGAAATTCCTGATTCCGTTAGGTTGGAGACTAGTCATTGCCGGTCCATGTTTCACAAGTTAAAGGCTAGTCTTCTTCGCAGGTTTCAATTGATTGAATATGATGATGATATGGTTGGTGAGGATGTTAATTATGGAAATAAACTTGGTCCTGCCTCATCGGTGGGGCACTTGTGTAATGGAAACAAACATGTGATTTCTTTGAAACTGGTTATCAAGAAGCAATATGATAATGTGAACCAAAATAAGGTGATATTATCAATACAACTTTCTCCGGTGAAAAATTTCCCAATTCCTAGGGATAAACAAGCTTCCTTTTGGATTAGAAACATGCCAGAGTGGGTTGGTATTTTCCAATGAGTTAGCGGCTGAATGAATTCCAAATAACCGTCGAGGTACATTAGATTTCATATATTGGATTCTTTTGGTTAGAGTATTCTTATGGAATCTTTTAGTTAATGAGAGTATTCTGCATCAATTTTAATTCATTTCTTGTTTAATTGAAATCCAATCTTCTGAATTTGCAGGTACCGAAGTCTAGTCGAACTTTTTTTCTTGTCGATTACGTATAGACAACAACAAACAAAAATGAAGTTTATGAAATTTGGGATAAAGTTGGATATTTTCTACACTGAACAACCAACCAGGTATTTGCAGCAACATTCATTCATTTCACTAACATGTATAAATTTGATTTGAACAATCTACAATTTCTAGATTACATATATAAAATTGTGTTGAACTTCACCTTTGAGTTTGCTTAGACTTGATGTTTGTTTACTTGGTTTGCTTAAATAAAATTATGTTGAATTTCACCTATGTTTGTTAAAAAATCATTTGCTTTGATTGAATAAATGCTTAATGTATTACTCATTTTAGATTAATATCTCTAACTGTCATCCAACTACGAGTGTGACAATTGGCAACACAAAATTAGATCATTCAAGTAGTCAATTATCAACAAAAAATATATTATGTCACTCATCTCTAGAGTTATGTCAGTAGAGATGTTTGTACACTATAACTTTAAAGTACTCAATTATGTCATTCATTTGTAGACAAGGCAACAACATAACTCTAATGATTATGGGTGCTATATGATGAAAAAAATATGTTGGATATTGTCTCTGTCAATATAATCGAGTCTTGGATACAGGTAATAAAAATAACTTTACTTTGTTATTTACTTTGTGTTTTGCAACTTAATGTAAATTTTTAAAGAATAACTCTATATTGTTATTTATGTATTATAGGTATTTGATAGCCTAACAGAATTAACACAAGATGATTTGTCTGGTGTGTTATATAGAATTGTCTCTCTCTCTATATATATATCTGATTTGAGTTTCTTGACGTTGGTGTTCTCTGTTGATGTTAATTGGTGTTATTATTTATTGTCAGCAAATGTGATTTCGTTGTCTACTGAAGCTACAACTCATCTTCTCGTGGATTGCATGTTGGTATTTCAAGTGTGTGAAAAGACTTATAAATGGTTGAATATTTTTGTATGTTTTCACTTGTTTAGTTGTTGTAGTAGTCCAACATGTGTAAACTTCCTTATAATTTTGTATCCTAGATTAGTACTTTTGTAAATCAATTGTTCATTTTGAAGAATATATATGTGCATCATAGCTATTTGGTGCAATGAAATCACCCTTCACTGGTTAGAAAAAAAATATGAAAAATAGTATGTGCATCATAGCTATGTGGTCTGTGTGATGTTGGAAAAAAATTACAGAGAATCCACCTCGATTCTGTTAAAAATAACCTAATTTTTTAAGAAAAATAGTAAACATATTACATCGGACACGCCTTGCAACCGATGTAAAAACCTATATTTTACATCGCGCCAGTAGGGCAATGGATGTTAAAACATATATTTTATATCGGGCCATCAAATCAACTGGTGTTAAATATTGCATTTATTTATAAAAAAAAGAATTAACCCCTTATTTCACATTAGATGTAACTGTCAACCGATGTGATATGTGTATTTTTCACATTGGATTGCTGCCCGTTATAAAATGTCTTTGATTTACTATATCACTTGACTTTACATCGAATCCAAACCTGAAATAAAATATGTTATTCGCCTGATATAAAAAGTCTTTTTTTACACTAGTGAAACAAAAACAAAAATAATGAATATTTTGATAAACAAAAATTATAAAAAAAATTAAAACAATACAATTTGATTGTAAACTTATTAATTTATATAACACTATTTTTTAAATACTGAATTTGTGTCAAAAAAGGTAAGAAAAATAATTTATTGTTAAACTTAACTACTTGTGTATTAAAATTTACATCATATTCTCTCTAAAATTAAATACAAGTTGTAAAACAAATAAAAACAAGTTATGTGTATAAATATAGCTGCAATAATGTACTACCAATATAATCACGTGTAAGAAATATAGAGGCCTGGCACCAAAGAGGAAATTTGGAGGCCCAAGGCAAAGGCCTTGTTTGGCTACCCCTTGGGCCGGGCTTGCCTTTACTAACTGAAATTTCATTTGTGTTATATTCTGAATGTGTTGGATATGCTATGAGACTTGAAAAGCAATGTGAAGTCCAAAACCATGAAATACAAGAGTGTGAACATAAAATTGAGGAGAGCTGGTCTGTGGCGAAAGAGGAAGCTGCTAAATGCAAAGAAGCAAAAGAGGTCATAAAAGCTTTGGCATTATGGGTAAGTTCTTTACATAACATAGTCATTTTAATTTGGACTTACATTATTGTATACATTAATTGATATCTTTATGTATCATATTTGTAGCTTCACGCATTACCAGGAAAAGATAATCATGGAATAGAGCTAAAAGTTGTGTTACAAGAATTTCTTCCAAATTTGGCACCTAAACAAACAAAAATGAATACTCCACGAAATACCAACATGGATAGTCTATCAAATTCCCCTATAGTATTTTACAGTGCATTAAGATCTAAATTATGTAGAAGTATGCTCCTCAATAATGAAAAAATGATGGACAACAACGCTAACCTCATTATACCAGAATCTCAACAAGACACTGCAAATGGCTTGAAGGTTGAATGGGTAGAACAGTATGAGAATGGTGCTTACATCACATTGACAACCTCTCCAAGTGGATAAAAAGGAATTATACTTTGTTAGATCATTTACTTCAACAAACAGTAAGGCGGAAAGTTTATCGGTGATTGAAAGGAATTTACTTCAACAATGAGATGACACAGGAATCGATTCTCTTACCAACTACACTCCCATTTAAACTAGGCTATTTTTATGTTATTGGGTTCCATCAGTATTAGTTTTGGTAAATTCTTTTTTGTTGAGATTGCAATCCATTGTTTCGAAGTAGCATGTTGCTCGACATAAATAAGGTTATATTGAAATAATCTAATGTGTGTCGATTTGTATTAGATGGGTGTCGAAGTAGGTTGTTTGACACATAATTTCAATTTAAACTAAAATAAGTATTTTGAACTTTTATAGTTTTAGACTTTGGCAAGCTAACCTAAAACTATAAGTATAAGGAGTAACCTCTATTATTGTGATACAAATTGAATTTGCATCTGCAAAAGAATAAATCACAAGTTTGTGAGCCGAGAGAAACTCTGCAAAAAATATTCTTCTTCTTCCCCTATTTTGTTCAAACCCTAATCTTCTTCTTCTCAATTTTATTTCTTCTTCCATTAACAAATACTGCACATAATCATATTGCAACCAAGGTTGGTTGAATCACTAAGTGAAGTGTGAAAAACAATGGGTTTTAATCGATGTGATTGAATCTTGTTCGTTAAGAATGATTTGGAATTCTCCATAGGTTTGGTGTAATTCTCAACATCTGGTAATTAGAGCTCTGCCTGAGCGATTCAAGGCAAGCAATGGTGATGGCACTGAATCATCCAAACTGGAATTTTTCAACGAGTCTTTCGATTCTGAAGAGTCAGAATTAGTGCAAGTAGATGAAGGTGATTATTTGCTATCAAGATCTTTGGAATAATGTGAAGGAAGGTGTATCATCGCTTGCAGAAGAAGTAACAAATGTAGAAAATACGACACATACAGAGTTGAAAAAGAAAGATTATAGAGCTTTCTTTATAATTTATCAATGTGTTGATTCAGACAATTTTGAGAAATTGAGTGCCGTAGAATTAGCAAAAAAACATGGGAAGTTCTGGAGAAATCATTTGGAGGCGCTGAAAATGTGAAATAGGTGACGTTAAAAACTGATAAAAGAACGTATGAATGGCTTCAGATGGAGGAAAGTAAAAGCATAACTAATTTCTTCACTAGGGTTACGAAACTGGTGAATCAAAGTATGTGGAAAAATGTTGACGTCGAGATCAATTGTTGCAAAGATCTTGATGTCTTTGACTCTAAAGTTCGACCATGTGGTGGTTGCCATAGAAGATTCAAAAAAATTATCGATATTTGCAAAGGAAGAGCTTAAAGGGACACTTGAATCTCATGAACAAAGAATAGCTGAGTGAGTTGCAACGAAATCAAAGAGTGACGTGGTTTTGCATGCTCAATCACTAAGAAAAGAAAGACAAAGAAAAGTGATTCGACAAATAAGGTAGAGGAAGCTACAACAATTCGATTGGTCGAGGAAACCAGTAAGAAAGAAATGCATCGAACCAGAGAAGACCACCATATCAAAGTAACCAAAGAGGTGGTGTTGCAGGTAGATGAAAAGTTGGTGGTCAAAAAATTGGAAAAAGTCACATTTAGTGTTTCAAATATCAGAAGTATGGTCACTACTCTAGTGATTATCCAGAAAAACAAAAGAATCAAGAAAGTGATGCAAAATTTGCAAAACATGAAGAAGAAGATACGATGTTGATGGTCACAACAATAGATGAAGAGAGATTCAAGGATCAATGGTACTTGGACTTAAGATGCTCATCACACATGTATGGAGGGAAAAATTGCTTTGTCAACATAAATCCCTTGATGAAGAACATGGTGAAATTTGCAAATGATTATACTCTAGAAGTTGAAGGTATTGGTGATGTTCTGATTATGAGGAAAGATGGAAAAATGTTAGTAATTTCCAATGTATTTATATACCAGGCATGGAAATTAATCTGCTAAGTATATGGCAGTTGGTCGAAAATAACTACAAGGTGTCGATCAAAGACAAGTTGATGAGAGTTATCGACTTAAGACAGGTGCCTTGCGACTGTAGCTAATGAGGATGCATGGATATGGCACTATCGACTAGGCCATCTTAACTTTAAAGACATCAAAGATTTGAAAACAAGAAATATGGTTTCAGGATTTCTAGAAATCGACATTCCAAACGAGGTGTGTGAGGAATGTGTGCAGGCAAAGCAATACAATAATAACTTCAACAAGGATGCAGAAAGCACGTCGAAGGCAATTCTTGAAATCATATACTTTGATGTATGTTTTCCTATCCAGGAAGATTCAATTGGAGGTACTTTGTTATATTCATAGATGATTTCAATAGAAAACTATTGACTTACTTGATCAATAATAAAAGTGAAGTGATCGAGGTATTTTCCAAGTTAAAGTCTATGGTCAAAAGACAAAGTGGTCGAAAGCTCAAGATTTTGAGGACTGATGGTGATGGAGAGTATGTATGTAAAGACTTTGACATGTTATGTGAGAAATAAGGGATTGTGCATGAGGTGGCGCCATCCTAAACTCCACAACAGAATGAAACTGTAAAAACGAATAATCGAACCATTATGAATATGGTGAAAATATGTTGAAAGAACATCATTTATCTAAAGAGTTTTTGGGTGAAGCTATGTCAACTGCAACATACATTTTGAACAGATGTCCTACGAAGAAGCTAGATGGAATTACGCCAGAAGAATGTTGGTCTGGTGTAAAACCTAGCTTGAGTCATCTGAAAGTGTTTGGATCTATAATACATAGACATGTGCCAGATCATTTGTGAAGAAAACTTGATGATAAGTCAAGCTAAATGATTCTAATAGGATATCACTCGACTGGTGGATACAAGTTATTCGACCAGTTGAAAAAGTAAGCAGTGATCAGCAGAAACATGATCATAAATGAGCTTAAGGAATGTGATTGGACTAAAAATGTAAACAAATATTCGGCGAGAATCTTATGTGAAGACCCAGCCACTGAACTCAAAAGAGAAGAAGTTTGATATGAAGAAGTCAGAGGTAGAACATGCCCAAACATACCTCAAAGAACAAGACGCGTGCCTGCAAGGTTGCAGGATTGTGTGACTATATCATATGATGTGGTCGATAATGAAGGTGGGTTGATACACTATGATTTCTATGCAAATGTCAAACTAGTCAATATTGTTGAGGCATTTAAGGATTCAAAGTGGGTGAAAGCTATGAATGAGGAATTGAAGTCCATCGAAGTTAACAATATTTGGTCAATTGTCAAATTGCCTCAAGGCAAGAAGGAAATCGATGTCAAGTGGGTATACAAGGTGAAGTTGAATCTCAAAGGGGAAGCAACTCGACATAAAGCTAGACTTATGGCAGAAGGATTTCTTCAAAAATAAGGAATCGACTTCAATGAAGTTTTTGCATCTGTTACTAGGATCGAAACAATCAGGTTGGTTGTTGGTCTAGCAGAAATGAACAGTTGGCACATATGCCACATGGATGTGAAATATGCGTTCCTGAATGGCCTTTTAGATTGAGAAGTTTTAGTTTCACAACCAATTGATGTTGTGAAACAAGGCGAAGAAAGAAAGATATACATGCTGCATAAAGCCATGTGTGGACTTAAACAAGCTCATAAAGCTTAGAATAAGAAGATAGATTTTCCTAAGGAAGAAGGAATTTATAAAGTGCAGAACTGAGCATGAAGTATATGCAAGAAGAAGAAAGAGTAAATTTCTTATACTATGTCTCTATATCAATGACTTGTTAATAACATGTAGCTGCAAGTAAGAGATCGAAGACTTCAAAGGTGATCTTAACAAAGAATTCAAAATGTATGAACTGGGTGACATTTCATATTTTCTTGGAATCAAATTCTATAAGAGTAGTAGAGGTTTGATGATGCATTAAAGAAGATATGCAAGTGAAATTCTCAAGATATTTGAGATGGAAGAATACAACTCGACTTCGACACCTGCTAAACCAAGGCTGCAACTATCGAAATACTCAGACAAAGACGATGTCGACCCAACACAATACAAAAGAATTATTGGATCATTAAGGTACCTCTGTCACACAAGGTCTGACTTAGCATATAGTGTAGGTATGATGAGTAGATTCATGCAGATGCCAAAGGTATCACATCTAGAAGCGATGAAGAGGATATTAAGGTATGTTAAAGAAACTCTTGACTATGGCATTATGTTTCCTGCGGCGGATGAAGGAAAATAATGCAAAGTAGTGGGTTACACCGACTTAAATTGGTGTAGTGACGTTGAGGATCAAAAATCCACAACTGATTATATGTTTATGCTAGGTGGTGCACCAATTGCTTGGAGTTTGAGAAAAGAATTAGTAATGACACTATCGTCATATGAAGAAGAATACATAACTGATTTTCTTTGTGCATGTCAAGCAACATGGATGGTGAATTTGGTCGAAGAGATAATATGGAAGAATCATGGAGTAATTACCATGAAAATCGATAACATTCAGCTATCAATTTGACGAAGAATCCGATAGCACATGGCAAAAACAAACACATCAAAATGAGGTTCCATTATCTTCGAGAGCATGTAGCAAAAGGGAAGATGAACTTGGAACACTGCAAAATTGAGAATCATGTTATAGACATCATGATGAAAGGAGTGCGGGTCGAAGTGTTTAAGAAGTTAAGATCTATGATGAATGCAGATAGCTTAGACACAATGAATTATGTGGTATATTAAGATTGTAATCCCTTGTGTCGAAGCAGCATGTTGCTCGACAAAAACAAGGTTGTGTCGAAATAATCTAATGTGTGTCGAGTTGTATTAGATGTTGAAGCAGATTACTTGACACATGATTTTGACTTAGACCAAAATATGTATTTTGGGCTTTTATAGTTTTGGACTTTGGTTTAGGTAGCAAGCTAACTTAAAACTAAAAATAAAGGGAATAACCCTTTATTATTGTAATACACATTGAATTTACAGTTGTAAAAAAATAAATCACAAGTTTGTGAGC